ACAGAAACTTAATCTTTTCTCTTTCTCAACAGAACCCTTTCTCAAAACCCCAAACTTTAACTGAGAAAACATTTTAATTTTGATAAACATTTTGTCAAATGTTTGTTTCATATTTCAGATTTATGTATGTACTGTAATTTCATCACACTAAAGATACACCTTCGTTTGTTTCTACAATTATTTCCAATGCTGTATGTTTTAAGCCTATTACTTATAATTAACTGTCTTCCAAAATTAACAGCTAGTTAAAAAGAACAAATGAAAAAACAACACCAACACTACAACAACGGAACAAAAAATGTTGGCTTTTCTTCCCTGTTTAATATTTCCAGATGCTGCTGGAGAACATTTCAAAGCTGTAAAACAATTAAATGGGTTTAAGTTACACCAGGGCTCAGAAGGTTGAAACTCTTTTTGTTTGTAATATGTAACTCTAGCGATAAAGTTACATCCTTTCATGCAGCATAATACCTTACATGGTAATGAATATTTATGGGGTAGTAATTTGAAAATGATTGCAATGGTTTGAGACTGAAAAGTATCATTGAGGAGAAATAATAAATCTTCAAAATGAGCTACACTGCTAAATGATAAATCGAAAGAAAATTCAAGAGTTTTAAGATACAAAATGCGTTTAATAAAGTATTCTATTTACAAATTCAACATTTGTATTTGAAGTATAATGTTATATTACAGTGTAACATGTCATTAAGTTGCATGAGTTGCACCATGCTTTTTGTGGTTACTAAGATGGCTTTGTCGAGAACACCAGCTGTCAAACATATTTTAGTTTTATGTTGTTCAAATGCAATAATACAGTATATGCAGTCTTAAAGGAGTGTAATCTGTTCCTTGCTGTACTGACTCTCTTACTTCTTGCACGTACAATAGCCAAACATTTGTCTATTCTTCTACCCCTTGCTGTTTGCCATGATAAGAAGTGCAGGTAAATAAAAAAGAAAAACTGCAAACAAGAGAAGGCCATTCAGCCCATCTAGCCTGTTTGATCAAATTAGCTTTTGAAAATGCTTTTGTATTATCAGGAAGGGCGGAATGGAAGCATAAGGATTTGAACAGTTCTCAACATTTTGTGAAGCATATTTGCTAAGTGAAATAGGGGATGCAGAAAAGGGCACTATTGCTGCCCTGTGAGCTCTCTTGTCTTCATTTGTTCTTCTTCCTTTATTTATACAGAGTTTATTGGCTGCTCAGTGACGTTATTCTTATGAACACAGTAATTGCTGCCATTACAAGTATATGTGTCTGTACATTCCAGTGAGTTAATAACTTTTAAGAATGCCACCCATTTCCTTCAAGAGTCTACTCCAAACAGTAGATCAGATGCAGACCTGAGAAACTGGCAGGTGTGGTCCTCAAAACTCACAGTGATCTTCATATTTTACGACTTGGTATAAGTCAACATGGTATAAATATGATTGGTGGTGGTAGTACACAGCTGCAGCTTCCCCTTTAACAAACTTTTTAGAGCTGTTCTATTGTAATTATTATGTAGATGAAAAAAAATAATATTCTAATGTCCAATCCTTGAGTACGTTTTATATTGGAGAGTTATACTGTTGAGAATTCTGTTAATTATGAGAACACGGGATTATATGAGGATCTTATCGAGCCAGGTGTTCGTGAAAGAGGCCAAGGTGTGTGCCTCATCCTCATGGCAGTCCAGATGTGAGAGCAGAATTAAATCTGAGCCCAAGCCACTAGGGACACATTCACTCAGACAGCAACAGTGCAATCCACACAGCACTAACATCATGTCCCTCAGATGGTGCACAATATTCTTAGGCTACCAAAGGACTGTGGTAGAGTGGTCATGTTACTGCCCCCAGGTGTGGACTGCCATTAGACATGTGTTCCCTGTGGTGCCATTCAATGTATATTGAATTTCCATGATCTATGGGACATGAATTTTTAATGATACAGATGTTAAAACAGTTCAACTAACTTTTAAGCACTGTAATAAAAACACTTTCAGTGACTGCAAAAGAAAAATGTACCCATACGTACACACTCAACTAATCTGAATAATTGATAGATTAGTTTTGATAGTTCTATCTTAAGGATTTCCTATTATTCCCTGATGTGTGCCAATTAACCACGAGAGTCAAGGGTTGCTTAAAACCTAGCAACTATTCATGCCCTGCCACGCAGTGCTCATCAATCATGTGGTGCATGATAACAGGAGTAGTTTGCTCTGCAGCAGCTAATTCCAAGCACAAACATGAACTACTATTTAATATTTAATCACTAACAGAAAATTGGCAGCTGGTGTGTGAATAATACCTTCGCTATTATGTTTAAAATGGTGTTAAAGGCAGAAAAGGGATTGGACTTTAGCCCAGGCACTTAAAAGTTTTCATAGAAATCTATAATTGGCCGAACTTAATAATGAGGATGATCTTAAATCGGACTACCAGCAGGTTTTTTCGAGTCCACAGTTCATTGATTGAATCAATTTGGCTGGGTTTTACTATGATGTAGCTGTATACATATTCTATAAAAAATAAAGGGGATCTTAAATGTATCCCAAATTACTAGCAAACACCAAAAGCCATATTCTCTCAATCCGAATGGTTATTGGTGATGGTCAGCTGAATCAGTCGGCAGTAAACCCTTTAACCAAGGTCTGAAAGCTTCTTTAGCTCCTCTAGCCAGAGGACAGTCATAGTAGCCCTTTTCCATATGGTGATGATGCTGAGCCATGTTTGCTTGGCAATACACTACTAACATTTTTGGTTAAACCAGAATTGGTGTATGGTAACTGTATTATAAGGCATATATTGGCAGTTCTTCAGAAACAGGATAAGTTTTGTGGTTTAGTTAAAGAAGCCTGATCCTTGTTTCAGTTTCAATATTTAATTTATGAGCACCATTCAGTGGAAAAAAATAATTATAATAATAATTAATAATTGCTTACACTTTTCTGGACACTCCACTCAAAGCGCTTTACAGGTAATGGGGATCCCCTCCACCACCACCAATGTGCAGCATCCACCTTGATGAAAAAAACACCCTTTGAGCAACCATACTCCTATGTGGATGATTGACTACACCAGCCTGAGAACATCCCATCTCAACAGCTGCTCATAATTTTTTGTTACAGCCCACAGACACGTATCAAGGAGGCTCTAGCAAGTAAAGCTGTGGGACATGTGCAGCTCCCATAGCTTTGCAATCTTCAACACCCACCTAGTTCCCTGTAAGGAGAAGAACATGATGAAAGCCCTCTTAAACAATGCACCCACACACTTTCTTCATAGTATAACTGCCATTGGGTATTACAAGGAAATCTAGTTTTGAGTATTTTGAACCGAGGTCTCTCCATAATTGTGGTCAAGTAAAGGGCTTATAAAGACTGTGCAGAAACCTAATCCCAACAAAGACCTTCTAACATCCATGTTGTACATTCAGCCAAATTAGCTATTTTGAATAACGTTCATGACAATTTTGATCAACTCAGAGATCAGGTAGGCAAGAAAATAATATTAAAGCTTAACAAACTTCCATGCTTTATTTCACCTCCTGCTAGAATTATTCAATATGACTGAACACTGGTGAAGTATTTCATCTTTACCAACTTGGTTACATGTTTCCTAATACATACATGGTGTATTTTAAGTTTGAAATATCCGAGTGCTACAAATATTTCTGTAGTGATTACAAAATTGTATACTTCAAAATAAAACATTGTAGTGTAACAGTGACTTGGATATACTCTTTAAAATATAGGTGAATGTTTCCGTTGCTATTCCCCCTTTGAAAACATATTTGAAATTCAAGTATAATAAAGAATCGGAATGATGTATTTCAGACTTTCAATTTATGAAGAGTGAACAGTGGTAAAAAAAACTCTATTGAAATGAAATTGCTCATTGAACACGAGATTTCTAGAAAGCATCTGATGCTTTAGGACTATATGAGCATGAGGCAACAATATCTGGTAAATTTTGACACCATGAGTATGGGAAATGTGAAGAAGTTGTTTTAAAATCTTTGACACATTTTTTTGCACATAGGCAAAAAATCACTCCACTAACCATGCAAATACAGGATAAAACAATAATGAAACACTATCCTTGTTGCACACTGCTTCAATGTTTCAGTCCCAGAATTAGCCCTGTTATAGCCCAGACCTCACCTTTGTAAGCCTGGTTTGTATCATTACCCAAGTGTGACTGGGACACCACAAGGTGTCTGGACACTATTGACTGAGACCCACTTGGTGATGGAGAAGCTTGGAAGGAGAACAGAGATCCGTGTGGTTAAGCGGGCCTTAGTGCGTTTGCAGTGTCTGTAAAGATGTCTGCTCCACTCCTTTGTTTGATGCTGACTTTGGCCACAGGCACTGTGGGGCAGATGACTCTAACAGTGCATGGTTTAGAGCAAACATCTCTCCAACACAGGTATGAGAGTGGCATGGCAAGCCAAGGTGGGAGGATTGCAATAAAGAGCAATTATAGTTAAAAACATAAACTATAGAGCAGGACACCGAGATCCCGGTTATCCCAGTATGTGCTGGTTTTAGTTTCCAGCTGAGCTCTTCATTACCTAATGTAGTAGAGCCCTTTATTGACTGATAACTTGGTCAATTGTACCTACATTGTAATTTTGTGCTTTAAAGTCCTAGATGTTTCCAATCAATTACATTGTTGTATAAATGATTCATGATTTGCAACTTATTAGCAAATTATTAGTTCAATTAAGGGTTTAATGAAGTAACAGAGCCCTCAACTGTAACAGAGCAATAAGAACCAGGAGTGGGCTGGCCAGCCTTAAGAGTATCCTGTCAACAAGTAAAATGATTATTAAACAAAATAAAAAAAACAATGTTTGATCAATATTTCAATACATACTATATTTTATAAATATAGAACAATCCTATGAACTGATTGAAAACTGAAATATTTAAAGCATAGTTTTGAGTATTACTTTCAACAAACTGAAAACAAATACTCAAAGAAACAGCTGAGACTGATGCAAAGTCATTATTAAGCAACATCAAAGTTTTATTAGATATTTTGATCAGTCCCAAAACATGGTGGGAATACAACTGTTTTGTGAACGTCATCTTACATTTTATACATAATTTCAAAATAATAATAAAAAACACAAGACAAAAAATGTAACAGCACACACAATGCTAGAGCAGGACAGCAGCCTGGTTTGCCCCTTTGTTTTCAGGAATAGAGTATAACAATTGACACATCGTACCAAAAACATGATATGTACATCAGATGCCAAGTATTTACATTAAGGCATTTTAGTTACATAATTTACTTTTACTCTTCCAGTTTCCTTATACTAGGCTACATTAATAAATAAAATGAGAAAAAGAACATGTACACCAAATAGCAAGCCACTATTTTTCACATTAGCCTAGCCTAAGAAAGGGTAGTAATCCTGTCCCATTGCTTTACAAATTAGTTAATCTAATGAGAAACTTTAAAGTTTAATGTTTGTTTTCTAAAAGGCCTTGAAGGCACTTGCAATGAAATTCTTGTTCATAAAGCTTATTACAGAAAACTGTAAGGTTTTTTTACATTCATATGGCTTCAAACATGAACAGTATAAAATATAAAGGCATGCATAGCAGTTTAAATAATTATGTTTGTACAAATGATACATTACTTGAACCAGTTTATTCCCACATTTTGGGCAATTCCTTTTTACATCATATTAAATTAATTATTCGCTCCCTTATGTTAAAAAAATCCAGTAGCAGTACAATCAATTATTATTATTAAGGCAATATATTTTCAGAAATCTGACATCCAGTTTAAAATGAAAGCTTTATGATAGTGCTGATCAGTCATATATGCAGTATTAAATGTGCCCTTCCAGTGCTTAGAAACAATACATAAAATTATGTAATTACATTTTTCCAGTTTAGCTTCTGAGAAACATTTTCTAATTAACCAAAGTAAAATAAATCCATGCTTTGTAACAAGACTATTTGGGAACGCACTTAAACATATTATTAACAAATGACATATTTCTGTGCCAATTATTATGATTTTTTAAAAATTTGTGTTTCCCAACTGTCATGTGTCTTACACCAAGATAAAATCATAGGCCTTGTGGCAAATATAGTGTTGGCAGTAGTAGCTCATTATTAGACTGACATGGGACAAATTCTCAGTCAAAAGGCAAATTAAACAGGTTTTGAAGCTTGCCATGCTCATTTAAGTAAATGCTAAAAAGCAAAACAAGCCCTTTGCAATATATATATATGCTGTAGAACATATTTGTTACTACACAGTGATCTCATAAATGTATTTTAATAATGGAAATGTCTTAATACAAGTAAAACATTTTAGAAAATTTCAAGTAGTTTCCAAGGTTTGTTCTTTGGTTTGAAATCCAATTCTATAAGGCTGTTATCTTTTATTTTCTTTAACAGTGTCTCATGGATTTCCAAGCCCTTTTTTAAACACTATCATAAGAGTGATGCTTGCTTTGGTCAAAACACAAAAGAATCTTTGGTTTTCAACTTGTGTTAGCTTGAAGTCTTTTTGTTCTTCTTCCAAGAACTCTTAAACAAGGGGGACGCAAGAATCAATTAACACAAAAACATTCTTCGGGTTTGCACCTCTGTCATGTTTGGGGAAAAAAAATGAATAAAAAATCTGAAAAGTTCCAGTTTTCCCCCAAAGCTTAATGTGAAAATGGTTGATCAGACACAGCTCAGGCTTGTCACTCAATGCGGGTGACCTGCATCGTGGCCTAGCTCTGGTGGCGCTTCATGTGCAGAGCCAGATGATCAGACCGGGAGAAGCTCCGGCTGCACACGGCGCACTGGAAGGGCTTGGCGCCGGTGTGCTTCCTGAAGTGACGGGTCAGCTCGTCCGACCGCGCAAACCGCCAGTCGCAGCCCTCCCAGGTGCATTTGTAGGGCTTCTCGCCTGGAAAGGAAACAAAGCGATTCACAGGGTGGCCTGGGTTCGTTAAACAGCAGGAAAAGCCTACCCCTGCCTTTGCCTTCAAAACCATGGGCCAGAGTGGCACACTGACAGAGCTGAGCAGAATGCAAGATGCAGGCCTAAGTGTGTGACTCCCCAGCATTGTGACATTCATCGGCAAAAAGAGCGAATTTCACTCAGCTTGAAGCAGTAAAAACAAGCAAAAGTAATAAAGAGCTGCTCTCACAGCAAGGTGTTTCTCTGAACAGCTAGACTTTCATTAGGATGGCGCGGTAGTCAAGAAAACACTTGTACTCATTTAGTGAATATGTATGTTGACAAATGCCCTTCAAAACACAGATACACTCTTGTTCAAACAAAGCCATGAAAAAAGTGAGGAATTCCACTTCCATAAATGCTTTTATGTGCTACACGAGAAACTTCTGGCAAGGCAGCAATTGTCCTTATAATGTTTCCCATTTCTGACTGTTTGTATCTATGGTTTCATAATAAACACTCAGCAAGGATGTTATCAATTGAATTTGCACGCTGCTTCAATATAGCTTAAGGTTTACAAAGTGTTGATAATGTGTGTTATGCTTTAGAATCAATTTTTCTGAAATATGACAGATGGCAAAATTATTTTGGGAGATTTAATGGTACAGTTTAAGCATGTATCATGTAGTGGCTTGGTACTTGGTGATTACATATTATCCAGCTTTACCAGTTTTTTTTCCTCTAAACCCTTTTGGGTATGTGCGTAACTACTGAGTTCAGAAAGTTCCATTTTAGCAGATATTACTCCTTGCAGTATACATCTATGTATACATGCATCTATCTCACAATTCTCAATTCTCAAACTTTTCTCACATAATATTAGTACGTTAAAGCATTGCTTTATTTATTCAATTTTCCCCTTTACATAACTGCAGAACTTATAGTACATATAAGAAACAGTTATGAAAATGCACAAAACTTGATTTAAACCATTTTAGCGAGAGTGAACAAACTTCCTAACAATTCAATGGTGTTTCTAATGTGGAACATTAAAATCATGAGACTGCTAGCACACATCAAGTCACAGTTTTTACTTTAAATAGATATTTTTTTCAGTTTTTTGGATAAGAATTCTAATCTCCAAAATCATACTAACACAAGTTAACCACTGACCTCACGCAAGAAGAATCAAAATAGAGTAAGCAAATTAGTCTAATTTTTTTTATTAGTCTTATTTCTCTCTTGTACAGTTTGTTTCATTCATTCATTTGCTGACATATTACCAGCAGAAATTTACCTCACCTTCCATCCGTGTAAATGTTTGCAACCAAAATTAGTAGGTTTAGGGGTCAGAAAGGATAGTACTAAATCTTTTATAGTTTGCGTTCAATGAATCTACCTAACACCTATATTAATATATATATATATCCTTTAAGCAGTTTTTACAGTGCCACTTTAAAGTAGCATTTTAGTTTCTAGATGAAGCAATATTTGACAACTACTTGCATATCCAGAGACACAAATTAATTCTGTCTATATATGCCAAAGAGAAAGAAGCGGATTGCATTAAACTATTAAACATACTTTACATCAATTAAATGGTTACAGTATACCAGGTTTTAAAAAATAGATTTGCTTTTTTTTCCTGCTGGACAGCTTCTGTCTCTATTAAAACAATAGTACCAATTAATATTGACATTTAGTTTAACTGCATTTTATAACAATCTTTAAACCTCCGTACAACTTTTCTAACATACCATACACCTTCCACAAATACAATGTGAGACAATTGGAGGACAGACAGAGGAAAACCCCCAAGAGCAGCTTAAGGTGGACCTGAAGCCTGGGTAAACACAGACCAACAAAGGGGATGTGCATTAACTTGTTTAGACTACTAATGGTAGACAAACTGTGCCTAAAGCACTTTTCACCTTAAAAGACAGACAAGATTGTCTTCATCACAGGCGATTATATAGCTATTGTTTAGACCCTTTCAGATTAGAAAAAAGCCCCTCTTCTTCAAACAATTGGGGATTTCTTAAGATAATGAATGCTGAGAGAAATACTGCAGGGCCTCCCAGTAAGTTCTGAAATGGAAGTAAATGAATAAATACAGAATCTAACTTTGTTTTAAACCCCATTGTGTTGAGGGGTTTTCTGTAATCGTGTTGATATGTGTTGCGCCATTACAAAAGCCTTATACTGAGAAAGAGCAAAGCATCTAGGTTCACCATTACCTGCCCCACCCCAAGACAAAATAAATCAAGCAAATTAAACAACAGTTATTCGCCAGCAGTTAAGTAAAATGAACTTTATCCCCATAGATAAATACTGCAATGACATCAGTTTAGATTTATAGAGGCTGAAAGAAACGAAAGTGATAACTTCCTTATTTACCTTAAACTAAGTTCTGCAGTAACAGTAGGTTTGCCATAATCACCATATTGAAATTCACCAAGCTCTAATGCTCATACACAAATGTGAAATACAGTTCTTGCACAATTGCCTTGTTTTTATTTGCACAAAATAATTATTGTTTAAAAATAACACTATAAAATACCTATAAAACTCAAATCTCAATTCACAATAGTCAAATAATTTAGAATGCCAACTACTGATAATCTCCCTCTTATCTGGTTATTGGATGTATTGAAAGCTCATTGGCTTATCAAGTCTGCACATAAAAAGAACAGGTTAACAAAATAAACCAGGGTGTCAGCATTAACTTTAACTTCACAACCTTTTAACTAAATATTTTGATTGCCTTTTTTGGCAGTTTAACGAAAGGATTTACGTGAAAAAGAAATCAGACAAGTAGGGATAAGCCCCGCGATAAAGGTACAGTTTTCTCACGGAAAACAGCAAAACTGACATTCAAATCCAGAGATTATCAACAGGCCCATTTCAGCCTGATGATAGCAGCAGTATGAAGGCAGTTCAAACATTTGCTTTGCATTCAGGATGGACTTAAAGCAGTTTTCCCCTTTTTAAGAACAAAAAGAGAAAATGCAATGACTAATATAACCGAAATCTATCAATGAACAGCATCAACAGATTATACTGTTTATACTTACTATACTTAAAACCACCAATGTTTTGTGAAAGGGGTGCAAATTTAGTTCTTAAAGAAGGCATAAAATTTAATTACTTTACATCTTGGCATAGCTCAGAACAAAAAAGCAGTATTTCATTGAATACCAGTTTATAACACAAAACAAAGGTAACAGAAATATAGTTGTGCCTGAAATGCCTGAAGGTTTGCTTCTCTTTTTTTATCGGAAAATACCTTCCATTTTTTCCACTTTCTGGAAAAATTAAGAGTGCAAATCAAATGAAAAAATGTAATTTTTCCATTTTATCTGAAGGATAATAAAATTATGTGGGATAGTTTTATCTTCAGGCATCACAAAATGAATATACAATGATGCCAACAAGGAAAGTCTGCCACCTGGAAAATTGCCATGGAACAGTTTGAGAATAAATGGCCCTTCTCTTTTAAAAGAAAGTTTTAAGATATGATGCCTGGATAATTAAAATGCTTACCAGTGTGAGTCCTCAAGTGTGCTTTCAGGTGAGAAGATTTGGTGTAGACCTTCTTGCACCCTAAATTAGAGATGAAATGGAATAGAATTCAAAACAAGCAGTAAAAAACAGTCATTCATAACCAATAACTATTTTGAAAACAGTTTGGCTTATTTAAAATTGCATCTGTGATACCTTCTTAATAAATACATAATTATAGATTTTTTTGGAGAAAAATAAAGCTTTAACAAACATCAACAAAGGAAAAAATAACAGTATTTAATCATAGTGCTGTTCATAGTAGGCTACATAATACCCGAAACTGATGTACTCTTTTAAGTGGCAAGCACTTTATTCTAGCTTTTGAAATAAACTATTCTGTGCAAATGGCCTTTTAATGTCTGTATCCTTCAATCATTTTTATTTGCTAGGACCTTTTGAGGTAACAGTATTCAATAATTTGACAGCAATTTCCTTGCATTTGTTGGGAGTTGGTAAAAGGCAATGTGCTTCAACTAAATAATTCAGAGCGAAGACAAGGTAAAACAAAACATAAATCTCCATTATGAACAATAACAAAAAACTCTTAAATACATTTGGCTCTTCCCTGCTGGATCTACTCATTAACGGAGGAATAGTGCTTTTTTACCTGGGAAGTCACAGTGATGTATCCGTCTTTTCTCTAGGTCAGGGTTTGTCCTGCGGGCGTACCGGACCGGTACAGAATGCTGAGGGCCCTGCAAGGCAGGAGCCAGAGTTGGACTGTGGACGCCCAGTTTGGAAGCGATGCTGGCAGCGTAAGAAGGGGGAGGTGACAGGTTCTGTAGCAGTTCTGTCTGCCTGTCAGGGCTTCCTGGCTCCGAGCTTGGAGGAGAGGGGGGGAGATAGGTAGGCTTCTGCTGCTGCTGCTGAACAAACTGGGGTGGCAGGGAATAGGGACCAGTGCGCACGTTACAGAACGGCTTGGCAGCAGACTGTTGGGTGCCCAAAGGAAGGTTGTTGTTATTGGGCATTGCAGATGCCATAGGAATGTTGCTATGAGGGTTAGCACAGGCCTGGCTCCCAGCAATGGGCCCTTCCAGTTCTGGGGAATTTAAGAGCTGAAACAGGGGACCCTCCTGAGGGATATCAAGGGAAGGCATTTCTTGTTTGATGAAGATACTGTTGATGTCTGCCCCTGCAGCAGAGCTGAAGACACTGGTAAACTCAGGGAGGGTCTGTGCTGCGCTGGTGCTTGGGCTGTTCGGGTGCACGAAGCAGTGCATGGGCTCAGTCTTGATCTGCGGCACCGCTGGCCTCTGGGGTCTGCACAAGCCAGTCCGAAGGTATGTGAAGTCTGGAAGAAAGACGTTCATGTTGATGCTGTATGGTGACCCTTCATCTTCGCAAAAGAACTGGTCCACCACAGAAACACTATCTCTACGAAACTTCTTTTCTTCTGGTGTTAGCAGGGGTGGTGGAGGCTGTGGCGTCAGGTACTTGTCCATCTCTGATCTTGTCTGAGAATTAAAAACCAAGAAAATCACCAAGAAGAAATTAGTGTATTTCTCAGGCAGAGAGAAATGACTCTGACAAACGATTGCAATGCTTTTCTTAATTTCACCAACTATTGAAGAAATTTAATATCTCAAAAGATAAAAATGTGTAGATTTTTAAATTCACCTAGACTGGTGTAAAAATGTTTTAAATCTGAACATAATAAGTCCAGCTGACACACTATGGAAACACCCGGTATATTCAAATTATATTCATCATAATCAATCTTCTGTGTGCCTTAAGAGTCAATTTCTAGGAACCAATTTATGATGTAGATATATCTTTAGCCTACTACTGAAGATTTAACTGCTACCACTTAAATTTTCCCTTTGGACCTTTTTAATAAACAAAATTAATATAATAAATGTAAAATAAGGTATATAAGATTGCTACTGATACATTTCATGAAGCATGAGCGTCTTAAAAATAGTGAGTGCTTCTATTTTAAACTCTGACCAAGAGTAAGCTTTGGAAGATTTGGGTTTGTTTTTTTGTCAAAACAGTATAAGTACTTCTGATCATTTTTTTTCTATACATTAATATTATGACCTTCAAATCTGCAGGGGGAACATATTACACATGACGTTTTTAAGGAAGCCAAAACAAAACACACACCAAATGTGTAACTGATTTCTGTAAATCATTTTGTCTCCTCTCTCACAGCCAATTCTGATTATTATTACATTTCAATACAAAACTGTAACAGATTTCAGTGTTTCCAGTGTACTCCTTTTATATGCATCTCTCCATTATATTTTTCAGGCATCTTTAGAAATTGCACTGTTCCGTCCTTCAGCCTCTACCTGATGTTTGAAACAAGTAGCAGAAGGAAAGCAAAAGGGTTTGTTGTTCATTAATAAAATCTCGAAAAACGTTTCGAAAGCTATGGATTGGGATGTGAGCTATCAAACGAATAAAGTCTCATGGTGTATTTCGCGTGCGTATTACAGATTAAATATTCTCATTCCACGTTTCAGCAGGGTATAATGTCAAGCTATAAAACTGTAACACTAGACTTGACATTTTGATGCCTAAACTGTAATCATTCCGTGCTTGCGCTAAAGCGCGTGTGGGTGGAAGGAGGCTGATATGTTACTAGTACAGTCATCAGCAAAACATTTATCAAGTACTCTTCAATGGACTTATGCTACATTCCCCCTTCTCTTGTAAAAACGCAGCTCACACCAAATCCCAAAACAGAATCAGCTGACAAGTGGAAAATAAGTTAAATTGCTAAGCTTTTTTCATACCACTCTGCTATCTCCCCCGATCGCGTTAAAACAAAACTAATCTTCTGTCCAAATCATGTGTGGAAATTTCACTTATTTCTCTAATGTAAGTGATATGCTCGAGTAACCGAAAAAAAAATCCTTTAAACTGGAACAAAGCGCTAGAAGTGTTCTGCTAGGCTATGGTTAGCTATTTCTGAATTTAGATCTTCCAGCTGTTCACTGCCCAGTATCTCTTTCAAAACGGTTTTCTGATTAAGGTCTGCGTTGCTGGGAAGTTTCTCCCAGTCTGCGAGCCAGCACTGCGAGTGGGCGAGGGGAGTCAGTTGTCGACGAGATGGTGGTCAAGTGCACACAGCCGTACAGCAACTGTACTGAGCGCTCACTCCATGCCAGAGACCTGGCTTCCAACTTCCAAACAGCTAAAAATGCCCTCCGCCCACACAGTACCTCCCACCTTCATTCCTACCCCGGACTGGAAATAAACATAGTTTTAAGATTCACTTACATACTATTTTCCTTTATTCATACATATATTTACAGTCGTACCAACTACGGATGTCCTTTTCTTAGTAATGATACGAAACCATTCAAATCCTGCGCGATTTTAGCAGGCTCTCTCTTCGGGGAAAAATAAAATACAAAAATAGCAATCTAAACAAAAACATCTAGACTATCACACCATATCTGATATTTATTTTAAAAAGTATTGAAAAGGAATGAAAATATCGTCACTAGAATGTCGTGTTCTATTCAGGCAGCCTTCAAAGGAGACGAAGGGACTGTTAAAATGCAAACCAAGTTTTAAACAAATACATCAATAGCTATTGAACAGTGCAAAAGAAGGCGTTCGCAAAAAGCCTGACTTTTTAACTTGTAGCTCCCAGGAGAACCTTCACTGAAAAGTTGCAAATCTAAAACTTAGTATGTCCTACCTGCATAAAATCGTTCGTTAAAATCCTGGCACTGGCCGTATTCTTCATGTCTCCAGCAAACAGCGACAAGTCTCTCTCCTGGTTACCTTCAGACAGCGTTGGTTTAAGAAGGGCATAAAACGGTTCGTCCTGCCCCGGACCCAGCCCTGCAGTCATCGTTAACAGAGTGGTAGTGGCCATGAATGTCAGCTACAGGGTGCAATACCCAGTGTGGTATATTCCAGTTAGGTTTTACTTATGCTATTCTTTCAGAGTGCAAATAGGAAAATCACACGAACGGAAAGATCTCCGGTAGATTTCGCGCGGTGCTCCACCCAGCTCGCCGTTGTTGGACTTTTCTGATCTAACATCGCCTCGGTCACTTTTTCTCTGGTTCGCCTCGGGGCGGAGCCAAGGTGATCGGATTGACAAGGGGGAGGCTAATTACTATAAACCGTAGTAGGGATTACAATCATTGAAAATCTTGAGAATACTTTATTACTCAGCGGGTTTGGTGTACTGCGGAGTGTTCAGAAGCATTCTTCAGCGAAAATGCACAAGGTCTGGATATGATTCACATCGTTTCGGGAACAAAAAGTAACAATGGTGCCACATACAGTAGTAACTTCATCAGACTCAAACCACAGCAGGTCAGTGAACGTGCGAGTAGGGTGGCACGTATTTGTTTTTACACGTGACAACATTTGTAGCCCCTAAACTGTGGAAAACATATTTATGTAATGTACTGGAAAACGAAGTACTGTATCTTTTTGTTTTTCATAAGTGGAGCTGGAGGGGAATTCCAGTTACAGCAGTTTAGTTTATTCTGAGCACCTCGGGCCAAGGGTAACTAGAAGACCCGGATCGGCTCGAAACTCTTAATGATAAAGGAATGCATTCCTATTTTTAAACGCTGTGTGTGCAACAAATCAAGACCCGGGAGACTTTGAGCGTTAGAAATATTTCGCACGGTTTTTTTTTCCAAAGCCATCCTATCCATTTAGCTCCCACAAATGCCGAAATCTTCGTTCATGATGTAGGGATAAAGGATGTCCTTTGAATTACGTCCCAACGTCTAAAATTGACCAACCACCATAGCCATTAGAATGTAAAACCTTCGGCAACTGCATCTTTAATATACATCATTTAAAAACAATTTTAACCCCGCTTTTGTTTGGGTGTGTAGTTTCATCCAGATAAATTTGAAAACAACGCCCCGGGCGATCTCATTTCCATTTAACCTGCTACACTACGTTTGCGTGCTAGATGTGAAGTACAGTTCGCAGGACCTGTGAACAGGGGATTTGTTTAAATGCTGCCTCTTTGTTTCTTTCCAAGAAGGAGGCGACATAAATGCTGTCAAGTGAAACACCCGACATACTGGCAATCGTATGATTGTGTATCTAGAAGCCAGTATTTAAAAAAAGTGAAGTATGTTAGTCCACCAGTTCAGCATTTAATGCAATTTAGGAACATCAATAGAAACTCGCAGGGTAAAACATATTTTAAAAAATACTAGCTCAGCAGTAAGATATTATAAAACTCATAACAGCAATTTATTATATTTGGAATGTCCTGTTGAGACCTTATTAAATAACAACGCGCTCCTGCTATTTAAAATGTGATTGATTTTTTCTCCCACCTTGAACAGCAGGTGCAGTTTATCCCATTTGGAAACCTTTGGAAAGAAATACACAAAATGCAAATGCACAAAACTTTTATAACTTTTTAAATACTTTTTTTTGGCTTTCCCCACATCGGTTAAAAGTGTGCAGTTTAGGTCTGCTTCATCCAGCCATTTAAAAAAGCTGTACCCGAATGACAGAAAGGAAATTATTCTAGTGGCAAGAAAATAAAAAAAATAAATTGGTAACACAGCAATTAGTGATTTGTATTCTGTCAAGACAAAATGTATTTCTCCTTATTTTCTACAGTATATTTTAGAAACTATAATCATATGACGGAAAATGCTGTAAAAGAGACGAACCAGGGGAGGACCGGCTAGCACGAGTGCATTACGGTTTATGTTAGATCCACGGTCCCAGTTACCTTGTTGGTCTGATTGTTTAATTAGCTGCATAATTCTGACATTTTACGCTCCGAGGTTATTTATCAGAAACTGCACCTTTAAGGAAGTGAATAACTGTAAAAGACCGTAGTGGAAAAAACCCGATATACGCAAAATTCAGAAAAACAATCAGGTTTAATTGTTTAATTGCCCTGCACAGGTTGGAACTGAAATCTGATGAGAAGACATTCCAAGAAATGTGCTTAGAGACAACATGACACACCGTGGCTTGCTTGGTAGTTAGTAGCTGGTCAATTTCAGGATTTCATCCAGCTGGTTTTGGAAAGATGCCAGGGATGTGGCATCAAGTGTAGCTGGGTAACTTGCTACTCAATCCTACAGCCCCTGTGAAAAGATTTACCTCCTATTCTCAGTTTTAACTGCACTTCCATGTTATATCCTCCGGTTTGTGTCTCACTGGACTCGGTGCCTTTGAGGATTTTAAATACTTGGATCAGCTTTAAAAGTATTTACTTTTGAATAAACATGACTTAATGTAATATATATATATAGTATTGAATGAGGTATTTAATACTATACACTATGTTCTCTGCTTAAAAGAGCTACACACTTAACGGTAAGAATGTACTGCCCTACAGAGTAACGAACAATGCTGAGAGTCTGTAGTAACTGGATTGCTTATTTTTCAAACCCAAGTTCCTGAGTGTCCTGAGACAGTTATTGTATTTGTTAATATCAATCAGGATTCCTAGAAATGGAGCCTTTAAGGGAAGGTGATTCAGTAGAAGAAGGCCTATAAGAAGGCTGCGGTATATGTATAGTGTAGCAGTTTGGACTTTAAACTCCATACAGGTGGGTAGGGGGTACACTGGCATTGTACATGTATGTGAATAATATGTTAATCCGATTGCCCAACCAAACAGAGCCTGCATTCATTTGCATTAAACAAAACACAATATTATAATCTGTGGGACATACTTTGGAGAAAAGCATCATCCATATTTCCTTAAATACACTTAATCATCCATCCATCTTCTAACCACTTCATCCAATTCAGGGTCGTGGGGGAGCTGGAGCCTATGGATGGGACACCAGTCCATCGCAGAGCGCACACAGACACACACTCACACCAGGGCCAATCTTCCCAGAAGCCAATTAACCTCCCAGTATGTGTTTGGGCTGCTGGAAAAAACCCAGGCAAACGTGGGGAGAACATACACACTCTGCAGACAGCAGCCCAGGTAGGAAATTGAAAACAGGGTCTCTGCTCTGTGAGGTAGCAAAGCACTAGTGCAGCACTCTGCCCCTAATTATACTGATAAGCCTTGTTAATTACCCTTTCCAGCAACAGTACAATTCTAGCTCCAAACTGTGGAAATAGTAATTTAAACAAATTTAAATAATTTAAAAGTGAACAAGAAGACCATGCTTTGAGTTTAATTAATTTGTTACGCAGCAATACTTAAAGCAGAGTATAGTGAAGAAATCATATATTCAATAAATTGAAAACATTAAAGGTTCTGCTGTGCACTTATGATTACTACTGGTCATCTTTAAATAATAACATCAAAACATTACATGCATGTTTTCCTTATCTTTAACAAAGTATTTCAAAATACAATATATTTATAGGCTGTAATATATAGGCTCATATTAGAGACTAGACACAATACAATTTTCTTTTCCATTTTCTCTTTTCCAGTTCTAATATACTGCCTCAAAACAGAATACCACCAACACAGTTTAATATAAACATTTCAACTAAAGTTTTAACTTAGATCTTGTGAATAACTGTGTAAGGTGAAAAATGTCTTTAAGCAGTTTGGGAGACACAAAATGCATACTGTACTGTAGATCTGTCCATTAAATAATGAGATACAATGCATTTTTTGCAACATTGGTTATTGATTTTTATTACATAAGGCATCTCACAAGACATTTGATTGACAAAGAATTAAGATGCACTGATTTTACTAAATCAATCCAGCAAATTATCATATAAAATACTGTATATGCAGCAATAAATAATGGTAAACTTCTTTTTTAACAGTACCACCACAATGATTTATTTTATGATGACAACAGAAAATTGTCACTTATTTTTATGCTTCAGCTTTTTATACCATTCAGGAGCCTCTTTATTTGTCTGGAAAAAAAAACAGAAAGAGCTTCAGTTAATTCATTCAACAGTAAAGTGCATAATGAACTCTCTCAAAAAAGCAGTCTGACAAAACATTTCAGTGTAAATGCCAAAGAAAAGTCATAAGCATACCAGACTGAACGGCCAATCACAGTTTACTTTGTTCATCTTTCATCATTAAAACAAAGAATTACCAAATATCTGATGTTCAGAAACCATTCTAAGCACTTTTGCTTTTAGCAAAAAATTCAACAAATATTTTCCAACCATGTGAAAACACTCAGGGAAGAGTCTATTATTATTATTCCACATAGTTTGACTGACTACATAAAAGCAATAATAAAAAAAAAAACACTTCTTTGATCTTTTAATGTAAGATAATGTTTAACTTTCTTGAGAATTAAGTGTAAAATGTGTGTAATACTTACAAACAAAGTTGGTTTTGGTTTGAGAATATTCTCTTCTTCCTCTGTGTTAATGAGACCTTCTGGTCTGTATATCGCTGTTCTTCTGGTTTCTTCATTTTGAGGATGAGCCGCCCCTTCACCATAGTGTTTTTGATGCATATTAATCAGAACTTGTTTCATTATAGCCAATTCCTGTTAAATAAAATGGAAATAATGAGAAAGTCACTTTATAGCAAAGCAAAGTTCATTTTGAATTACACAAGATATTCCACCAAGCATTCTTTTTATTAGCATTTTGACTCAAAGTATTTTTGGGTTCAGTGTTATCATATTGTTCCACTAATCATTGTATATAGATGGAAAATTAAATTTATTTCACCTGTAATTTGGATGCACACATACATTTATGAATGGAAGTAAGGCCTAGAGTATTATAAAACAAACCTTCTGCCTCTAGTAACTCAAACAGCTAGTGAACTATAATCCTGTACAAGGACCGATAATCCCGACAACAAGTAACTGTTGAGGAAGTTTCCTACTGTATGTAGCACATGGTGAAAAGAGAATCTGAGATTCAGAATACTTATCAAATATGTCACCAAACTAAAATGAAAATAAAAAATAAAAGACAGTTAAAACAGAGCATAGCACTCTGCGGGTCCTTTAACAATGGTTTCAGAGAGACTTTATTCCTATTAAAATCTAAAAACATAAATCCAGATGAGTGGACAGAGAAAATCTCCTCTTAAACGTGTCAAATATCAGTCAATGAATCAGACATACACACACAAAACAAGGAATAATCAACTTCAGGGCAATTAAGCCATCAGATCCTCTACTTTGAAGATGAGGACTAAAACAAATGTATTTTATTATGGAAATAAAGAAATCTGATTCTCAGAGTTTTTGTTCCCTTTATCATTCTTTAACTGTTTCAGAGATGACTAAAGAAAATACTATGAGGCCTCAGAATAGGCGAAACCACCGGTTTGGCAGGGCACAGCCCACTAATTCATGGGTTATTTTGAGCACTTTTTCTTCAAGAACACCAGAAAACATTTGTCTGTGTCTAAAGACTTGAATTGTTACAACAGCTCTCAAAGACAACTGCACTAAAACCTTCTATAGAAGCTTGAAGGTTGTGTACATTTAAGATTACATTCAAACTTAAGTAAATGTCCACTATTTTATGTACTTGTCACGTAAAAAATGACATTTTGCAAAAAGTTAAATAAAATTGGTGGGACCTACATTAAAACATAGAATCGTAATTTGTCCATTTTAAAAACAGAGGAACGTCCGTGATTTCCCAAATGTCCACACATCTCTATACACAAACCCCTAACCCTACAATTCAGTTGTGCTCACAAACTTAGACTGGTTTTCAACTGGAGTGTTTTTAAGTGAATAGCTTACAACAAACCAAAAAAATTATCATCCCAACACAGCTATCCAGATGATGCACAGGGGTCAAGAGACATTAACACTTATTTAGACCTTTCCTTTATTAATGGAGGTCTATGAAAATGGCTACATGCTGCTTCAATCTGAATGAAGGTTGTCCCTCTGAGTGCCACTCAGCTTGCTTTGAGAAACAGCGAGGTGGATACAGCATTTCTGACCAGGCCCAACCGCTATTTAATACCTCCCGCACACTGAATTTATAATAGGAACGCAACGGCAACTCTTAAAAAGAGAGGCATTACGTTTGTTTTTTTTAAAAGGTCCATATCCTTGCTTTGTTAACATTAACAACAGAATTCTGTGGCAATCTTACAAACGCATTGTTCATAAACATAGGAAAGGCATCACCAAAACTTCAGACGTGTCTTCAGCAGAATGAGTCGAGGTCATTTAATATTTTTATTTATCTCCCCTGGCCATATGTGCTGGCATGTAAAAAGCTCAACTGCGGTGCAGCTGTCTACGAGGACTGCATGCTTTATGCCAACATGCTGCTAGAAGTTGTGAAGTCGGCAAAGATGATGCCAAGGAGATGCATTGAGGGAATGTTTTGATGAAAATAACTCAAACATCCATTGCAAACTATGCGTCTTCAATTCACAAATACTTCTGCAGTTCAGACATTTTGTTGTCATTCAAGTGCGCTATATAAACGATTAAGTGTACTTTTTAAAAATAAATTGAATGTAAAAACCAGGAAGATATCTGAATAATTATTCATCTGTAATATATTAAGGCCTTTTAAAAATATTAGAACTTCTTTTTCAAATTATTAAAAATCAGAATGACAGTAACTTCCCTTGGTTTTGAACTACTGATGAAAACAATCCACCAAATGAAAATTAGCCAAATGATGTCAGAAATGATTAAGGATTAAAATCCAAAACATTCTTTAAAAAAATGAAACAGTGAACGGTGCTTGTGTGTGATGTTAGTACGAAGGAAGACTGAGATTGAAAGGGATTTTTAACAATATATCTTCAGAACGAACACCAACTTGGCAGAGCTTCTTTAGTGAGGCATTCCCATTAGGTCAGCATTAAACTCACAATAGCAGACATTTAATTTCAGCATTAAACAATAGAAGACATTGCTCAATATTTTTCTATAATAATGTTTTGAAAAAAAAAACTTAGTCCTGCATATTTGATTACTTGTTCCCAGTTTCCAGCCTTTAATCTACTTGTAGTTTTCAATGAAATAGCATTGTCTTATTACTTTAGAATTGTTTTAAAATAGGGGCAGCACAGTAGCGCAGTGTTTAGTATTGCTGCCTCGCAGAGCTGGGGCCCTGGGTTCAACTGCAGACCTGGGCTGCTGTCTGTAAGGAGTTTGTACAGTATGTTCTCCCCCTGTTTGCATGGGTTTCCTCACACACTCCAAAAACATGCTGATCGGTTAATTGGCTTCTGGGGATACTGGATCTGGTGTGAGTGTATGAGTGTCTGTGTGTGCCCTGCGATGGACTGCATTGAGTCCAGGTTGTATCCTGCCTTGCGCCTACTGCTGGCCAGGTTACACTCTGGTGCCCCCTGAGATGCACTGGATAAAGAGGTTTAGAAAATGAATGGATGTTTTAGAATGTTGATTCAGTAGTCAAAAAGTAAAACAATGCACAAAACAACTCTTAATGCATGAAAACAAAGATCAAGTATTAAATACCACTTGCAGCAAGTTCTGTTTGATTGGCATTCATTATGGTGCACTAAATTCTTCAATTCTATGACTTAAACAGCAGTTTGAGTGGGAGGACATAATCATACAATTTGTGCCTAACATCTGAGGAAAGAAGTTGTAAAAAGCCCAACCCATATTATATGGACAGTATAATAAAAACAATCTTTCAATACTATGCTGTGTGTCAAGTGTAAACAAATACAAGAGCTTCTTATAGATTTCAGGATATGAAATATAATTAACATAGACCTAGACCACCTCAAGCGCTAAGGCATGAGGTCAATTTTCATGGCCAGATGGTATCTTTACAAAATCCTCTTAACCTGTCTTTCAAGATGTTCAAAATGAAATACAGTTGCATGTTTAGTTTTTTTATTTTCCTCAACTTTTAAATTTTCAAGTTGCGAATTTAATGCATAACATTGTTGAAATGCTCAAATGGTGGGTTCAAATCTCAGGTAGGGAGTGACATACTTGTACGCTTTAGCAAGGTACTTAACCCAGATTGCTCCAATTAACCTAGCTGTATAAATGGGTACATTTATATGTAATACATTTGTATGTAAAAATGTGATTTGAAACTTTGTAGGTTGCTCTGGGTAAAGCTGTCAGCCAAATAAATTAAGCATATAGGAAAGTTTACAAATGTGAATTCATTTGGAGGACCTAGCTAACTCAGTAACTACTGGCTTACTGATCAGAGAATCTCATCTAACCATTTCCTGAAAGAAACCAGGGTTGAATGATCTTCACCGTCAACATGGGCAGTTAGCTTGTTCCAGATCCCACAAAACATTGTGAAAAAGTGCTTCCTGTTCTGTTTTAAACCCACTTTCCCCACATACTCCACTTGTGCCCTCTGGTTCTCCTTTCACTGCTGATTCTGAAGATATTGGTTGGGTTTACTTTATCAATGCCTTCGAGTATTTTTGAATACTGGAATCAGTAGTCTTATCTGTTCAAAATTAACTGTTCCTTTATCCTGCAAGACATTTTAGAACCAGGAATGTATCTGGTGGCTCTTCTCCGGACTGAATCTAGAGCACCAATTTTTTTGTAACGTTGTGACTGGAATTACACTTTATTCTACATGAGGTATTCATTGCACACTTTTAACATAAGATCATGCGATTTAATTTCTTCAAAGACTTTTAACTGTACATCGTAATGCTGTTTGCCTTTATATTTTTCCCTAGATTTACTTCTTAAGACAATGACATTTCAACACAAACAGCCTTTTTTATAAGTAGTTTCTTCAAGCTACATGTTTCTCATCTTACGTTTACAGTTTATGGTTTTGCCACTTTCATGTAATGGTCTGCACTGGCCTTCATTAAACGTCATCTGCCAGATGTCTGTTGAGTCTTTCTCAAAATCTAAAAAGTTCAATAAGAACTACCCTTCCTAAATTGATTTTGACAGTGCTCTAGAATCTATAATCAAGAGTGTGATATGCACGATACTCTAGTTTAGCTCTAATTATAATTTCTAAAAACTTGTAGTAGAATAAGATTTGACTATGACTATGCAGTTCAGTTTTGTCACACATTTTATGGACTGGGTACTACATTAGCAAATTGCCAATGAATTGGCATGACCATTTTTCTGGGAGACTATGAGAAGACTTTTGTTAATAGACTTTGGAAAACATCTTTCTTTACATTTGGTAGAATGCCACCAGGCCTAGGAGATTGGGTTATTTGCCTCTTCTATGCTAATATTATTTAATACAGAACTTTGTCTATCCTCTGCTTAAAGACATGTTACCAATTTCTTGCTTCGCAAACTCCTAAAAGAAATATGTATTTATTATATCAGCCATTTCCCCTTAGACATGCTTTAGTTTATCCTTTACTGTTGTTTCCTGCTAAAACACTGAAACAAAATGCTGTTTAAGCCTCCACCACAATACATGTTTCTAACTCTCTTGGACTTTTTAATATCTCATTCACCTGTTCATTCCCCTTCACCAATCCATTATTTTCATTTTCTTTAAGTGGATTCTGTTTATTATTGGATATACTTTATAACCCTTAGAACTTCTACTTTCTTGGCTTGGATTTACCTGTGTTCTGTTTTATGCTTTTATCAGAATTACTTTTAAACCGATTCCATAAATTCTCTATTGGTTCCTCATTCTATGAGAAACTCTAATTCTTTCAGCATCCTTTTTCATGAGGATTTAAACCCTTATTCTGGACTCTACCTGAACTATTTCAGAATAAATTTAAAAGCAAACAAGACTGTGATCACAGATTCTCTCACCTCCATTTTTCTTACTGTATCAATACAGACTTACCCTCTTGTAGACCTTCTGACAAACGGAGTAAGACAGAGGTCGCTAACCGTGTCTGCAATTTCAGTATCAGCTGCTGATGTCCCTACTGGTTTTTCTAAATCTATGCGAGGCAAATCTCCCATGACATCCACTTTTTAGTTTCCACATATGTTCCTTGTTTCATTGTATAACACTGCATTATAATTGTTAAAATACCTAATTTTATTTACTGTATGGGTAGTCAAATGGATATGGGGTGCTTTTATTTAATACATATATACAATAAGTCATTTTAAATATTCAATATAAAAAGTGAGCTGTGCAAGAAGCAGAGTAATAAACATTAAGCATAATTCAGTGTAATGTAACTTGAACATATTGGATACAGTTTTACAGAAGTCCATGTGTTTGCCCAGCAGTCAAATGGGGACAAAGCCAAAAGCACATAAGGGATAATTACACCAGCACTTTTCTTAGTATTCAGAGGCTTCCCTTTGAACAGCTCATATTAGTTTTGAAAGGAATGCGAGTTTCATGACATTCAGAAACAAGAGAACCTCCCACTGTCAGTTCAATTATCTTTTTTAAGGGACTATGTTTTCTGGAAAACCTCAATGTTTTGTAATGCACTGACTGATTATGGTTTTACTTAACATTACTTCTTACAAATATAAATATAACAGACATCATCTACCTGTTTTAGAACTGACAAACTGAAAGCACATAACTCACTGGCTTGTTTGATAACTGTACACACTACTGTATATATATATATTACATATATACTGTAATATTAATAAATATTTTTAAATTTTATGTTGCAGTTCATGTGTCAAGAGAAGCTTCTAGGGAAGCTGTGAAATAGGTGAATGATCAAAGGTGCAGATCTGTCTGCAATGAAAATCTCTGTACGGAAAATACATTTTCTCCACTTAAACATAGAACTGGAAAATTAGATGTAGCTTATTTGTGAGTTTAAAAGGAAGAGCAAAACAAAAAAAACAAAACTCTCCTGAAGTGATCAGGAGTAATTAAAACTAATTTTAGTAAAAAAAGTACCCGGATGCTTTTCTTTGCTTTGGTTATACATGGCAGCAACAATAATTTGTTTTGCACATCCTGAAAAACAGGTTTTGAGGATTCTAAATAGCCACCTCCTGGTCACTAAAACTGACCTTTAAAATCCTGCTTGAGGGCATACAAGTAATGTTTTGCAAAAAGCTGAAAATCACTTTTTTCAGCTTTTTCAGTTTTTCTCTTAACTCTTTACATTTTCAAAACAAAAGAATAATTAAAAAATACAAAAATACAAGTAAAAATGTTTAACACTCGGAGATCACAACAAAACAACTATAAAGATATTCCGATTTGTTCTTCAAAAATGGCAATTAAACAAATTCAAATAATTACATTTTAAATAGTACAGAGGAAACAAAATAAATTAAAGTTGTATATTCTTTTAAAATTTCAGTAGTCTGTTTTCAAAATGAAAATAATTAAAAATATAGCCAGTCTAAAGTTCAGTTTTAGCAACATCTTACTAAAATGTAACGGTATCAATCTCTCATGTAATGTACCCTTCATAGCAATTATTTCCCCTAGCTTTCCCACCAACCTGTATGTGAAAAGAAGATTAAGCAAAATACAACATCCAAACATGACCTTTTTCAATAGGTGTTTACAAGAATAGTTTAAAACACAAAAAAGTAAAAAAACGTTCACAAACTGCAATATATAAAACTCTAACTTTATTGTAGACAGCACAGAAAGCAGAACAGCTGCCAATTTGATCAAACCTTTTCATCAGACTGATGAAATTGTCAAAATGTCAAATGTCAATTTTAAATGTCAGAATGATTTTTCACTAATGTAGTGTGCAGGACCTTCTTCTTAATCTTCTTTTATGAAAAATAAGAAAATAGGGAACTATAAAAACGTGACAGTCAAACAGAGCTCGCTTTTATACATGAAAACACACTAGACACCTATGTTATTGAGAATGTTTACCTCACGGTGATTAAGAAGTCTTTCTAAATCTGCCTCCATATTATTCTTGATGTTCTGCAGAGCCCTGTTCTCTTTGTTTAAGGTTCTGAAATAAAAGAAAACCCAGATCCCTCAGATTTTTTTGAATTATGAGTAGGCTCTGTTATAAAGAATTCAAATAAATGGATACCAATGGATATCCCCAAATAAACTACTTAAATCACACATGCATACAACAAAAAAACAAGCAATGGAAATTATAATATGTCTTGTCATTTCCATGTACACAGTACAGAGTACACAGTGGGGGCTCTATAAAGTATCTGCAATGTTATCTAGCTACTTAGTTTAGTCACTGCAAGTACAGGCTATTCTAAGCATTACACTTCTCAGTACATAGGTCCTTAATTTACCTTGTGTGGCCATTATGTGCTGTTAAAAAACCTGTTCTTTACCCTGAGGATGACTCAATGCACAAGCTGTAACAGCAAACTGTGAGGTAACCAGCTTGCGTGCCGTGGTTTAGAGATCGAAAGATTTCTTTGTGGTTACTCAGTGGTTTTAAAAGACTTTCATACTCCCACTCACAGCACTGAATAAGAAGTATTGTTGTTAGGATTTAATTAAGGAAATGGAAATACTGCAATGATAAAGGAGTGCACTGGTGGCTTAATAGATTATAAAATGAAGCTGGTATAAAACTGAGAAGAAAAGTTAGCTATTATATTTGCTCTACGGTTATAAGAGTTCACCTTCAACAGATTTGTCATCTTGAGGGAAAACATAAGCAAGGGAATAGCTCATATTGATTTCATTAATAATAATGAGTTATTAGGGTTTTGTTTTTTTAGGTTTGCATAAGTCAAATTATCCACCTTACCAAGTCTAAAACAGGCATATGACATTTTCTCACACCTGAAGAAGGCTTCACAGCCGAAACACTGTGTTTTCTCTTCTCTTTTCAGCATGGAATAAACCTATTGTTTATTTTCTCATTATTATGCTTTTAGGATTTTAATACAACAAAAACAATCTATGACTAGATATAAAACTGTGAAAAAAGTTTTCTGCTAAGGCTCTGTCCAAATAAGATGTTTAAACTAATTGTCATCTTGTAACTGGGCTAAAACTGCAAAACTACATTTAATTCTGTAGAGGAAAAACAAGACTAGACCACCCTAGGGTTGGTGAAGTTGCTTAAACAACAGCGTTTTACACATGAAAATTATCTATAAAGTATGACAAAATATGATAAAATAGTTTTGTGTGGGTGCTCAGCGCTGAATTAGAACAATCTGAATAGGCTTCTTATCTTTGGTTACACATTGTGAATGGGGTCATGAAGGAAATCAGGTTTATTGTTTGCATTCTTAGCGCTCCGTCACAATAACGTGTCACTAGAGTTTTTCTAAACTGAGGTATTTAATATTATTAAAAATTTCTATTTCTATTTCTATTGAAATTTATTTTATGTTTAGGAATGGATGTAAATTAATCTGGGCTTGGACTAATAAATGGATATGACAATGATATGGAGCTTATTATTGTTGTGAAAAACATGTTTAAGGTTCTCATGCTTTTTGTGGGAATGCAAACAGGTTAAAACGTTTTTTTTTTCTCCAAAAGTAGTATACTTATTGAAAACATGGATTACCACTGTTTATACAGCCATTTATCTTGAAGGATTACACTTTTAGAAGAAAAAAACTTTTAAACAGACGTGCATTAAAACATTACTGCAAGAAGGATGCGATATCAAGATTTACTTGAACAGACTTCCCATTTCACATAGGCTTCATGGGAATTTTTTGGCTACTAACTTAGAAGTAATCTAACTTCTAAATAAGCAGGTAGCTGTAGATATCACAAAATCCCCTTATTTCTTTTGCAGTTTTTTAAATACAAAAACTCAGAAGAGTGGAGAGTTGTAAAAATGAAAACTCTTGCTTACAAGTACAGAAGAGTACTGTACATTGCTGGTGGAGCGAAAAAAATAACTGAGGGATTTAGAAAAGTGAAGAGAATGGAAACATAGAAGCGTACCTGGCATCATTCTCCAGCTGTGAGATGCGTTCTTCCAGCGTGTGTATCTGGTCGTCTCTGTGACGAACAGCCTCTATCAAGTAGCTGTAAGGCTGCTGGGTCTGTTTTAGGAGGGAATTGGCTCTCTCCACCTAGAAGTGCACAAATAAATATAACAAATTAATGAAAACCATTAATGCCACTGAGTTACACATATCTCTTTCTAGCATTCTCGTTTAGTTACACCCAATACCCATAGCAACTGAAATGTGCAAATTACACACTTTCTTTTACATTGTGTTGTAGATTGACAAAATACAGGGCCTTGTCAAGGTCCAGTATATTTTCACCACACATCACCATCTGTATTCTGGACACAGATGTATGAAAAAGTTTGGTCAAATTGCATGTTTCACAGAATCTCTTAGTGAAAAGAGGTTAACACAACCACAGCTCTCTTCTCAACAGCTCTTATACAGATTTTAAAAAAAAAGTGAATGTGGAATGCACAAAAGTTTAGGCAACCTGTCAGTCAGTACTTAGTAACACCTCCCTTGGTAGAAATCACAGGTTCCAAATGTTTCTTGTAGCCAGCTGAGAGTCTTTTGATTCTTGATTTAGGACTTTTTTCTGTTTAGATTTTCATTCATGCCTCTACGCGTGTAAGATCTCCCCACTGATTTTATATACTATTCAACTCTGGGGACTGCGAAGGCCATTCCAAAACCTTCACCTTTCGTTCCTGTAAATACTTCATGGTTCAATCTGGGGTATGTTTTGGATTGTCGTCTTGTTCCTCCATCTTTTCTGGCTGTGACCAAAAAGTTAAATTTTGTTTCATCAGTCCACAGCACTTTGTACCTAAAAGCTTCTGGCTTACCTAAATATTGTTTTGCGTTGATGATGTTGCCTTTTGTGACAAGGTCATAGGATAGGTTTCCTTTTGACAACTCTACCATGTGGTTCATTCTTGTGTAAGTAACTCTATACTGTGGACCATTTTTCCATTGTCAGCTATGTAGCCATGTAGGTTCTGTTTGCATATCTGACCCGTTTACAGGCCGGTTTGTCTGAGATTTTTCTTTCTTCCAGATTTTGCCTTGACTTGGACAATTCCACTTAACTTCCATTTTATAATGACGTTTCTCACAGTGGAAGTTCTAAGCTGGAAGCATTTAGATATATGTTACAGAGTAAATTAACTTTATTTTCAAGTCCTCAGTCAGCTGCGAAGAGGAGCCCATCATTGTTGGGGAGTAGGCACGACATCCTGAGAGGTCAGAAGGGCCAGAGTATTCATCTGGCTTATTTTAAGGCCTAAGTCAAACAAGTTTAGAACAAAAATGTATAAATGAATCAAATAAACTTTTGCACATTCCACATTCACTGGAAATAAATAGTAATTGTGCATTAAAATGTGCAGAAATATGTAATTTAGTGAAACATGCAATTTGACCAGGGGTGTCCAAGCTATTGCATACAGCTATCTTAAAATCAGAAGCATTTTGATAGATTCCAGCACAATCAATTTAAAGGTAAGAAGTTTTAAGACCTTCACTAAATGTCTGGATCCTTTCCTTTGCAAATGCCAAACAAACATCTACAGTTTAAAATAACTGCTGGTTTATGGATGCAACACTGAGCAAACAGTGTTTTCAGTGGCACTTTTAGCAGATTGTTTATAATTTACTACAGTACCGATAATAGTTCAGTTTATAAAATTAGCCTTTATATTCGAAACCTGAGTAATGCTGAGGTTTTTCACAGTCTGGGTAAAAGTACAAACAAGCACAAATTTTATTAGACAGCACACTATAACTTAATAACAAATGGAATATTATGTCTTAATGTCCAGAGGAATTTATCTGCCATTATCACTTCATGCTAGAGGAAAGCTGTGATAAATTGTTATAGCGAGCAATAAATTGGTTTAGATCAAGGTACATACAAGATTCCTAGTTGTTTCCATGTTCTTTATTTCTTTATAACCAGTCAAACTATTGTAAAAAAATAAAGACACACATCTTTACTCTGAGTTGGCACAGCCTTTGGTTTCACTACCTTTAAATAAAATTCTCATTGGCAAAAATGTTTTTTTTATCCGTATTCTAACATTTCGCTATTGCAAAGCTGAAGCAATGACCAAACACATTTACTTCAAGCATTTTAAGTTCACGGACAGCAAAGAGCTTTTCTGCTTTATTAAAAATCAATCTGCAAATTTACTTGGACTTTTTTTTTATTTACTACTTATAATTACATTTCAAAACAATGCCTGCCAAGCTATTTTATTGTAAGGCAGTGTTTTGCCCTTTGCAGCTTCCACTATTACAGCACATAAAGGTTAGAGATAAAAAAGACCTTCAAAATAATCAATTGCTGACCTTTCTTTAGCCTTATTCAGCTTTCTTCAGGTAACTATTTTCTAAATGTTTAAAGGTACTCTAAAAGTCTAATAAAAATAGGATACTCTCCAAGTATAAATACAAAACCCTCCAGATTCAGAACATAGATGAAACAGATACAACAAACATGAGACATACATCAATACATTATCAGAAAATATATATGTAATGACACTATCATTAATAGCAGCATGTAAAGGAAATTTGTATGTTTCATAAATACAATCCTAAAAAACAAAGTGTCAATTTATTTCACACCTCTGTAATTAGTATTATTTAAATCCTCCAGGCATGGAATACTGACAAGATACCTCAAGGAGTGTGCTATGAAGTTTCGTTGTGATGGATTTTCTACAAAGGAATACATATACCTGTGCTTAAATATAACCTTCTTGTATTCCAGAATTCAATTATTATAAAAATGACTTTGCTTTATTATGATTAAAGCATAAGATTTTAATATTTTTAGGACAGACATGAACTAATCCGTATCTCTATATCTACATGCAATGTTTTTTTTGTTCCTATTTCATGTGTATGAATACACTTGAAGGGCACTACATTACAGATCAGATAAGATCACTTTATTGGCCATATACAATTTCTTGCATTAGGAATTTGTCTTTTAACAGACCCCAGCTTGCTCTCCATGAGACACACAGACAGGGAGAGAAGCTTGGAGTCAGAGCGCAGGGTCAGCCATTTATACGGCACCCCTGGAGCAGCTGGGGTTAAGGGCCTTGCTCAGGGGCCCAAAGGAGTAGGATTCCTCTGCCGGCCACAGGATTTGAACCGGCAACCTCCGCCCATCTCTTATCTACATTACATACCCTTATATATATAATATATATTATATATGTGAGCATAGGTGAGCATAGGTGAGATTGGCCTAGCAGCACAAACCAGAATTAGTTTTGCCTGAAAAAGCCTACAATTTATCCATTCCAATATTATTTGGTATCATCACTAATATACCCCACGTGAGAGCTACAGACTAACGTAACAAACCACAAGAGCTCAATTCATTCCATGTAGCTTTCGGCATGTATTCTGCTTTCTATTTTGGCAGCTGACACATTCTAAAACTTACTTAGGAGGCTGAACAACTAAATGAAGGGGAGGGAATGATTTATAATTCGATTTATTATTATGTTTATTATACTTGTGGTTTGTGTTACATTTTCAAATTGTGTAGTAATTCCAAACTTCCAATCTAACAGACAGGACAGGTATGCATGCCAAATATTCTTTGACTGGTGCCAATATGAAACAGAAGCAGTTCAGCATTCACATCATCAAACAGATCAGAAAGCAGGAGAGCCCACTGTTTCAGGCAAACAAAAACAAAGATTGACCTTTTGAATACAAGGTAGAAAGGTCAGCAAAATGTATTGAAATCTCCCGATGCCACAACCACTATGTTTCCCAATACCCTGGTGTTAAGAAAAACAGCTGCTAAAGTGCGCAATTAAAGTAACATTTTCAATTTAAAAGCTTCTAAATCACAAATGCTTTAAGCAATTTCTCAGATTTAATTAAATCCCTTAATAAATTACAGTTTATAATCGTGTACAGGGTTCATGGTTACTTTGAAGCCTTTCCAAAAGAGCAGTACAGGGAAAGCAAGTAGAGAAAAAACATTAAGCAACATTATCACCAGAGTTTAATTTGCAATTGACAATGTGCCGGTGAAGAAACAAGAGAGATTGGATAAATTAGAGGAAACCAAGGTACTGGGCCTCTACCTGATGACTTTACTGTATGTTCTGAGGTTATATAACACCAGTGTCTTGCCCATAACTCTTTTGATGTATTTTCATTTCATTTTCATTGACAATAACAGGCTAACAAGTTAAACATTTTAATCATTAATTTCACATACAATAATCTAATGCTATGAAGTCTTCTCTGTTGTTGGAAAACTTCCACTCTGATGGACTTTTTGTTGGGTCTGCAGAGTTTCAGAATTCAGCTGCATGATCTCCCACATGTCAACGTGACAGAGGCGACATCACTCCTAAGGCACAACGCAGGGGCGTGTTCAGGGTGCAGGCGGAGCGACATGTTGCTTTAGCAACCACAGCTGCCCCGGCTGATTGAGGCTGAGTCGCCGCTTGAAGCCCTTGAAGATGCACTGAGCTCCTCCCAGAGGGGCGAGCAGAACCTTCCAGCGACAGTCCCGGAGGGGTTTGTGACTGAGCATAGGACCACATTTTACATTCATTTTCTTTTTCTTTTCGCTTATTCCACTGTGCATCTCCACCAGGACGGGCTGAGACCTCTTTTTGTTGTGGCCTTGCTCTCCCTGTTCGACAGGGTGTACAGCGGCACATTTTCTTTAACATCACACCAGGGCCCCCACCCCCTCAGGCAGGGCGTTTACAAATACTGGTGCTCACTGCGGCTCTTCCCATTCCACACCGTTACACTCCCACAAAACCTAGGCACTGCAGAGCTTTGCTGCGGCCAGTTTCTGGCTCAGTAGAGCTTGCCGCTGAGCCCTGGTAGGGGCAGAGCCGAGCTACATGCTCCATGTTTACCCATGCATAACCATATTAACAAAGATGTATCAATTTACTTAAAGGATCAATTTCTCATCTTTTCCATTATTAAAATAAAACTGATTGAAATGCATTTTTGCTTTAATGAAGGAACGAACAGGTGTGTAACCTGATCAAGGTACGTTTTGGCTCAAATCAGAAGAGTAATCTTGTGTTAGCTAGATTTTAGGAGCACCTAGCACTACCCTTTCAAACAACTTTCAATGTATCTGAAGAAATGTGTTGTTGAGTGTATGAGCATGCAACATTGGAATGCAGAATCCATCCCATATCAATCACATTCAATTCAATTGTAAAAATACCAGATGCAGCTAAGTGTATCAAGCATCTAGCGCTGGAGCACGTTACCCACCCTTTCATGCCCACCTTCTTCTCTGGTGTCAGGGAGCCTAACTTTCAACATGTCACTCAGCCTAGATGAGTTTCCTCCATATATGCCTTGGGTGTTTGGTCTGATGAACTTCCAATTGTCCAGAAGTCCAAATGCTTGTTAGAAGTGCATTTTCTTACCGCGATTCATTCACTTCCTGAACCAGCCGACGCTGCCCAATTCTCCTTTTCCACAGCAGTGCCATTAGCTGGCGTATCGTCATTAGTTTGAACCACATGAGCAGCACGCCTCACACCTACCACCTGCCAGGAGCTCCGGGCTTTGTCCGTTTCTTTTTTGTTTCAGCACCGGCTCAGATTTTAGAGGAAAACGTTTTAAAGGTTTTTTTTTTCCCCCAATGGAGGTTTGACATCAGTCTGCCGCTCCATTCTATTTAATGCTGCAAAACTGACTACAACTGTGTAAATAAATTCCACACTGGCAGCATGCACAGCTAATTGCGAGGCTCCTTGTCTTGTCTTGGTTTTTATACTTTAAGTTTATTTTTAAGGCATCTTTGAATCTCAAACACGAATGTTAGTTTGACTATGCTTTTCTTAGACATATGTGAGCTGAGCTCGGAACAAATCAATCACAGGTTAGCACATTTTTGGATTGAAACATATGATCAAATGCACAATTTTAAATTTCAATTTCTGAAAAAAAGATTCTGCACCCTCAGGTACATCTAGGCTTAAGGCTATGCTTTCTCTCTTTGATCTCCTTGTAAGGAAATTGTGCACTTTCCTTCTCCAACAACAGATCTTTCTGTGTTATCTAAGCCAGCCCCTGGAGGAAACTGCTACTGATGAAATGTCTTTATTTAAAGTTATTCTTAAATGGGAAGAGCAATAGCGTTTGTAACACTCTACAAAGTCACTGAATGGGTTACCTCTTTAGAAAGCTCTTGAGCCCGAGCTGTCTGTCGCTCCATATCTCTCCTCAGTAAGGTGTTCTGTTTCTCGAGCTGTAGTAATCTCCTGGCTAGGTGAACACTACAGCAAAATAAAAACAAACTGCTCAATTAACTTGGGCAGAAATCAAGTTGGGCAGAAAGCAAAATCTCAAACTTATTTCAAGATATGTTACAAAAAATCATGCATTCTTAGATATAGCTAATGTGTCAGCAAAAATTGCATTCAATAAATTACTGCTAATAGAATTATTTTCTGATATTTTTGAAATGTGGTCCAAACAAGTGGTTTATTTCTCATTTGTACAGAATGGACCTAGAATAGATACGCAGAGGTTTGCACTTACATGCCCCAACTCTCTGCATCTTTACCTGCCTGCATTTGTTTATTTGTAATTATATTTGACTTCCTCTTTTTTAGCTTAAACAGAGATGGAATGAAAAACAGAAAAAAACAAATCAAAATCTCTGATTTCCTTTCACTATTTTGACCTCATACATCATTCTTTAGAAAGTTACAATGAGAGTTATGCAGACTTTATATTCGTCATGTTATTCTTAACTGCATCTTATGCCTCTGTGAAACAAGAAGATCTAGTTTGAGACTTTCAAAACAAACTCAAAAGTCTGCATTACAAAAACACAGATCTTTTTTACACCATACAGGTTCAATCAAGCATACATGGCTATAATTCAAGTAAATGTCAGTACAGTTTTTCTTTCTCATCGACACAATATACACAAAAAAAGAATGAGGCAAAGATAATCACCTCTGTTTCAGTCGTCTTTTAGCTGTTGTAGGAACATTTGCACCATAGCCATATGAAAAAAGGACTCTCTCTGCTTCATCTTCATTATCCACTGTAAGATTAGATTTTAAAAGAGCTGACAAAGTTCTAAAAAATTTGGTGGAGAAAGCAACACACTGCAATACATGAAGGTTTAGTTTTAGTATGCTCAGTTTTTTCTTTTTTTTTTCATGTGCATGGTTTTATTTTTCAATGTTTTTCTCACAAATATGAAATGCCATGTTTTTGGTTTAAGTCCAAGACAGTACACAGCTAACCTTAAGGTGGCTACTTTCAAAGTCCTGCAAGACACTGATAAGTGAATGAGAAATATCTAAGGCCAACTACAGTGCCTTGCGAAAGTATTCGGCCCCCTTGAACTTTTCAACCTTTTGCCACATTTCAGGCTTCAAACATAAAGATATAAATTTTTTATTTTATGTGAAGAATCACCAACAAGTGGGACACAATTTTGAAGTGGAACGAAATCTATTGGATTTTTGAAACTTTTTTAACTAATAAAAAAATGAAAAGTGGGGCGTCCAAAATTATTCGGCCCCTTTACTTTCAGTGCAGCAAACTCACTCCAGAAGTTCAGCGAGGATCTCTGAATGATCCAATGTTGTCCTAAATGACTGATGGTGATAAATAGAATCCACCTGTGTGTAATCAAGTCTCTGTATAAATGCACCTGCTCTGTGATAGTCTCAAGGTTCTGTTGAAAGCGCAGAGAGCATCATGAAGACCAAGGAACACACCAGGCAGGTCCGTAATACTGTTGTGGAGAAGTTTAAAGCCGGATTTGGATACAAAAAGATTTCCCAAGCTTCAAACATCCCAAGGAGCACTGTGCAAGCGATCATCTTGAAATGGAAGGAGTATCAGACCACTGCAAATCTACCAAGACCTGGCCGTCCCTCTAAACTTTCAGCTCAGACAAGGAGAAGACTGATCAGAGATGCAGCCAAGAGGCCCATGATCACTCTGGATGAACTGCAGAGAACTACAGCTGAGGTGGGAGAGTCTGTCCATAGGACAACAATCAGTCTTACACTGCACAAATCTGGCCTTTATGGAAGAGTGGCAAGAAGAAAGCCATTTCTCAAAGATATCCATAAAAAGTCTCGTCTAAAGTTTGCCACAAGCCACCTGGGAGACACCCCAAACATGTGGAAGAAGGTGCTCTGGTCAGATGAAACCAAAATCGAACTTTTTGGCCACAATGCAAAACGATATGTTTGGCGTGAAAGCAACACAGCTCATCACCCTCAACACACCATCCCCACTGTCAAACATGGTGGTGGCAGCATCATGGTTTGGGCCTGCTTTTCTTCAGCAGGGACAGGGAAGATGGTTAAAATTGAGGGGAAGATGGATGCAGCCAAATACAGGACCATTCTGGATGAAAACCTGTTGGAGTCTGCAAAAGACCTGAAACTGGGACGGAGATTTATCTTCCAACAAGACAATGATCCCAAACATACAGCAAAATCTACAAAGGAATGGTTCACAAATAAACGTATCCAGGTGTTTGAATGGCCAAGTCAAAGTCCAGACCTGAATCCAATCGAGAATCTGTGGAAAGAGCTGAAAACTGCTGTTCACAAACGCTCTCCATCCAACCTCACTGAGCTCGAGCTGTTTTGCAAGGAAGAATGGGCAAGAATTTCAGTCTCTCGATGTGCAAAACTGATAGAGACATACCCCAAGCGACTTGCAGCTGTAATCGCAGCAAAAGGTGGCTCTACAAAGTATTAACGCAAGGGGGCCGAATAATTTTGCACGCCCCACTTTTCATTTTTTTATTAGTTAAAAAAGTTTCAAAAATCCAATAGATTTCGTTCCACTTCACAATTGTGTCCCACTTGTTGGTGATTCTTCACATAAAATAAAAAATTTATATCTTTATGTTTGAAGCCTGAAATGTGGCAAAAGGTTGAAAAGTTCAAGGGGGCCGAATACTTTCGCAAGGCACTGTATGTCTATATACTAGCTAAATCCAATAGAAAAGTATTACGGTGGCCATACTGTACATACTGTATATGTCATGCTGAAAAGTGAAGAGAGAAAACAGTGTTTCGGCTGTTAAGCCTTCTTAAGGTGTGAGCACCTTCAGCTCACACCTGAAGAAGGCTTCACAGCCGAAACGTGTTTTCTCTCTTATCTTTTCAGCATGACATATCTGGCAGCTTTGGTCTGACTTAGCTCGATTTATTTGTGAGCATGAAGGTGCTCATATCATGAGGGCCTCGTGGTACAGGCCAGCTTGTATAAAAGTGCTATGGAGCTTTAGTTTTATTAATCCAATAGACTGCACAGGCCCTCTGAAATTATTGCGAAGTGTTTTCTCAAACAATCAATATTGCTTGCCGAACATGTTGGATGTTGTACTTCCAAATTCCAAAAATAAAGCAACAATGATTCAATGACATGATTTAGATCAATTAATGTTTGCAAGATGTGTGTGTTTCGGCACATACTTTCTGCAGCTTGCAGGGTGACATCGTCAAGCTCTTTCTCTAATTTTTCATAGGTTTCCAGTCGAGCCTGGTACTCGGAGTTCTGTGATTGCAGCTCTGTAATACGTTTCTCTGATGATGTCTGAAGGCTGTAAAATTCCTTTGTCAAGACCTGTTTTTGATGAACAAAAATGTAGTTATAAATTTTAGTGTCTCGAAGTAAGATTTCACACCTGGTATTTTTTCTCTAATACTTAAAAAACCTTAAGGAAAAATAACATGAACATGCATTAATGTAAGTACTTCTACTACCAAACCATTTAACTTTTTCTGTATTTTATATATTCTTTTTTCTGGGGGGTGGCACAGTGGTTAGCTGGAGCTGCTAACTATTTGGAGTTAATACGTTTGTCCTTTATTGTGTTTGTGTGAGTTTCCTCTGGGTGCTCTGGTTTCCTCCCACAGCCCAAAAACAAACTGGTTAATTTTCTTTTAAGAAAACTGGCGCTCTTATGAGTGTTTGTGTCTGCCCTGCGATGAAATGGCGTCTCATCCAGGGTGTACCCTGCCTTATGCCCATTGCTTGCCAGGATAGGCTCTGGCTCCCTCACAACCCTGAATTGGATAAAGCAGGTAGAAAATGGATGGATGGATATTCTCATTTTTACAAAGCTGCATACAGCACTGTACCGACTCATTTTTTAAGATTCTGACAATCTCATAGGCTGTAGTGACAAGTGGCGGAACATGATCTAACACACAAGGATTTTATGAAAAAGTACCAAAATAAATCAGAAAACAAAGCTCTGTTATGCACTGCCATGTAGATCAGAACTGGACGCACTAAAAGCTGTAGAAGAAGATTGGAAGTGTCTGTACAATTTTTAGGGTAGCACCTGGTAAAATAACTCTAAAGGTAAATACACTGTAGAATTATTTCTGTGTTCACTATTTGTGAAAAATAATCGATGGCTTCTGTAGTACAAAGAAGAGTGCTTTTTATAAACCAGATCCTCATTTTAATTGCTGTGACTAGCCTGGCTAGCTTCTAGACAGAAAGTCTAGGGATGCACGTTTATAGTAATGAAGACTGGAATATTTCAAATCAGAAAAACACTGCATCTTTTGCTCTACAAAGGTTAAAGAAAAAAAAACTTAAAGGACAACTTTTTATACAGTGCATGCATTTTAAAATCTTAAGCATTTGACCAAATCAACCTGAAAAAGGTACATTTTGTTTTAGAGTAAACAAAATAATCTACTTAAATAATGGCAAAAGAATATTATAATTGTTTTTTTTTTTTTAAAGATGGGAAGATCTAGTTCTTAAACAAAATGAATGGCTTGCCTCAAGTTTTTTTTGGTGCTTCTCACATTCTATTTGGCACTGGCTGAGATTCTTGGCTGTTTCCTCCTGTATCATCTGAGCACGCTCCACTTCAAAGGATTTTAATTTCACTTGGTTGAGCAACTCAGCAACTCTGCTGTCTGTCCCAAGCTGAAGCTGTCTGAACCTGGAAGAACAAGAAGCAGATATTGTGGTTTAAATAAGGATGATAATAACAGCAGTTATTCAGAGATATTAATGCTGCACAAAGATGTATTGGGAAATGAAATCACTGCAAGTAGAGACTGAAGTTTTAGAATGGGCAAAGGCTTCTCACAGAAAGAAATATGTGGTTTTCATGACTAGTCAGGAGAATTAAAAATGTTTGACTAACTAAACTGTTGATGTTTATTCTGATTCTTAAGGACATATGAGGGAGGTTTTAATTTACGTTGCCTCCTCTTATACTTGTTTTCAGCCACCCATCAAAACAGATATCGAAGCTTTGCTCAAATGCTTCAAGAACACACATAGTTTATCAGGAAAGATAACAGTATTTGGTAAAGCACTTAAAACAATATCTTATGTTTAAAGGGGCATTGTAAACTAAATTTTGAACAACCAAGATTTTCATTGCCTAACATTTCCATTAACATTTACCACCGTTTTCATGCATTGTTAAACAACATATGAAGACTGTATTCAGCTGTACTGTAAAATATGTAATATAATGTAATTGATTCTGAGAATAACTCAAAAACAATAAAAAAATCAATCAGTTATTATAATCAAAGACTATGGATTAGAAAGCTAGTTCTAATTTTCTACAAATGATGTATTCATTGGTAAAGCCAATCATACTGTATGTGGAACAGATTATAAAGAAGTTGAATAATACTACTATAATGATAACATTAAAAGTGTTTTAAAATTTTATTTAATTGATATTTGATAGTAGTTTTTAAATAGTATTGCCTCTAACACTTAAATGCAATGACTCACATTTAAAAAGAAACAGACATGAAAATAAAGGTAACAGAAAATGCAGTGGACTACTTTATATAAGGGGAAATAAGAACAAACTATAGAAACCAACGACCGACCATCTGCCTTTTATGCTCAGTGAACCTAGCATAACCTTTATGTTAGTCTTGAAGGATATGTAATGACATTAAAGTGCTTGAAAAACTATTAATCAATTGCATTTAATAGGAAGTGGTATCTCCTTTTATTAGATCTGTATCTACTTGTACAAGAATGTCTTAAGATTAATTTTGAATACCTTCATCAGCGGATTGCACATACTTGTTTTCAGCATTTAAAAGCCTGTTTCAAGTCTCCTCTCTGCCTTTATCTCCTGTGGTTAAATACATTTCATCCAGCTCTTTATATCTATCGTAATAATGCACACCATTAAGACCCACAGTAAGACAAGCTGTCCTGCTTTTACAACTTTTCTGAAGTGAAAACAATTATTCCAGAGGTACAATATACAGATTCATTATGACCAGCCTGCACTTGTGCTCCATGCTTTTACACATACAACCAAACATTTATTTGAATTTTATTGGCTTTTCCACAGTGCCTATAAGTTAGCAAAAATGAATTACAGCTGTGTGAACCTGGAGCAACAAGCAGGGACATGTGTTGCCATCAGCTTCGATGGCACTTTCCTGTTCAGTCCCAGAGAACTAACTTTGCGAAAATATTCAAATAAATAGATATACCGGAAAACAAACTTTGACCAATTAAGTTCATAGCTGTCTTTTCCCAAATTAGAAAACAGCAAATATGAGGTGGTAAGGCATAATATAAAAATCCTAAAGATGCACATTTAATAGGCACTAAAGGCAGTGGAAACTTCATTTTTCTCAGTTGCAAAAATAACAGTACGTGCTACAACGGCAGAAAATGTTTCACAAAGCCTGATTGTGGTTCCCTACGTATTTGTAAGATCTGACGTTTTTTCATGGTTATTAACTGATTTTAAGTGAAGAAACCATTTTTTAGGTTACAAATGAGCACATCAGCCCCAATAAATGAAAAGAACAAATATAAAAGAATGAAGATTAGCACAAGCAATTGAAGTACAAGAGTGACTGCAGCACTGTCTTTATGGATTTTTCAAGTGTGTCTCATTGCTATGATATTCTTTTTCACATGCTATAAATTTCAATCCTATTGAAAGAAACAAGCTTTACTATGTTGTCGAATTCAAACTAACAACTTCTTAGTGCAGGTGTACATAATTGTGACCACCACCCTTCTTCATTGTACTGTATATTTAGTGTTTATGTTTTTTTTTTGTTTATTTTTAAATGACACACCTCCGTTTGATTTAGATATCATTGTATCTTCATCGGATTTTATTTTTTTGCCTTTTACGTGCAGAATGAGATTTTATCATTTTAAACATAATTTCTTAAAATACTTGAGAAATTATCATTGTAAACTATATAATTTGCACTCCTATTATGTCAAAAAGAGTATTACCAGGATTTCTCATTCAATAGCTGGAAAAAATAAATCCACAATTGGAGGCAAATATATTACTATATATTAACAGGACTAAAATGGGAGTTAAACAGTGATCAGTGTCACCTGTACACTCTGTTTGAGTGATTAATGAGGCACAGAACTCTGCAACTGAGATGTCCAGTGAAAAGCAGCTCACCCTATTTTGTGATTAGGAGTGCTTTTACCTGGAAGACAGACACTGCCAGAGAGAAGTTTAAAATATACTGTAAATGCAGAATACCTGGGAGACTATGCATATTTTAAAAAATAGAAGGAAAATTTCAAATAATGCATTCATATAATATGTATAAAGCACAAATATTTCTATCAGAATTGAATAAAAATTAAACCTGAACATTTTTCCCAACTTAGTTCTTAGAGTTACATCAAATCATAAAAATCATGACTAAATAACACTTAGAACATTATTTCCCAAGACAAGTGACGCGGCTGCAACACAGAAACTTAAAATGACGCAGGCAAAAAGGCCTAAAGGTGTTTTGCATTTTCCCCTGATGCAGTAGTGTCAGTTTCAGGATTAGACATGTCCATGCAGGATAATTTAAAGCCTGCTTTTCATATAGCTGTACAAAGTGAACTAATTTGTATAACAGTATGACTATCGCAAGCTAAAGCAAGTACAAAATATCAAACCAAAATTCTTCTTCATATCAGGACAGAAAGTGAAAGGGACCACAACAACGTTTTCACACCACAACAATAATAAAAAACACACTGAAGTTCGGTCATCAACCAAACTTGTAAAAAAAAAAAATCAAGAGAGGCCAAAACTTTAAATTTGCCATTACATCTTAATGTAATACGTTACATCTTACTCCCATCACCTACACACAGATCTTGAGATTGTTTTATCTGCCAGAAGATCCACCAACTTGAAGGTGTTCAAAAATGTTTGCATTACAAATAGGAAAAAAATGTCACAGGACAGAGGCATGGCACAAATAGTGTCAGACGCTTTGTCACTGTTTTGAAGATGATTTTAGTGCAGGAAAGAATGCATCTGTCTTCAAACATAAATAAAAAACACTGAACTACTGTAACATTCTCCCTCTTCTAGTTTTCAAAAAAACTATAATAGTTTGGAATCTGTTATAAATACAGTAAATAATATTAATTCAAAGTTTGAATCTATCTAAATCTTTCAGTCCCACTGTGACATAGATGTAACTTTTAAAAATATGGCAAAAAGACCATTGGCCTTAATTCTTGATTTGAAGTTAATCTTTCCAGGGTCACTGATGAAACCGACATATTAATCACAGCAAATTATACCATTTACATACCACCAAAAGTGGCCTTAAAGTCAGTATGCATTTCCACAATAATATAAAACTGAACATTTTCAAGCATTATACATTATAAACAGACTCTGAGTAAATTGATCTATTTTGATATTTCCTACCAGGAAAATCATTAGAGGCAAAGCAGTACATAGTTTGAGATCACGAGTGCTCTCAGATAAATGATGCATTATTACAGGAAATTAGAGACAATTTTGTTTTTCTAGAACTATCACTTATTAGGCAGAACACATATGTTGATTAACATAATGATAAAGTTTCCTTACTTTCTAGTAAAAGATTCCAAGAAAGTCTGATGAGAGGGGGGTGACAATTTAAACAAATGTAAGAATGTATTACAAAATCACTTATAAATTGCAGCTTATGAAATCAATGTAATTTCTTGTTCTGCAACTGAATAGACATATGTAGCATGAAAACAAATTAATCTATTTCTAAAATTCACATTTTATTTATAGACCGTCCCAATCAACACTACAGACCTGGCTTAAGTGATCTGAAGTATAAGAATTAATATGGTCTTTAAAAAAAAAACTGTGTGAGCAATTCCCTAAACTGTTGAACATTCAGCTGCAGCTGAGCATCTGTCATTTTTGGCTCACAATCCAGCTCCTTTGTGAATGTGAGCAATCTTTTTCCCTAGCATAAAAAACTCGGAGTATGCCCAACAACTGGACTGAGGATCTGCTGGAATCCCAGGCATGTGCTTACTGCAATGCAGATCAGTTCTCCCTTAACATGAGCAAATAAGGAATGCAAAGCACAGGAGTAACAAAGCAACATGGAAACAGATATTATACTTAGGAATTGGTCTTTCTTCTTAGATCATCTTTAAGATGATTTCTTAAGAAAAAAACATTTAAGAATCAGGTATGTAAACACTGAAAATTCTAATAAAAAAGAACAACATGTCTATTACTGCAAGTACTGGCCAAAACCAGGGCTAGTCAAAACATGTGCAAGAATTAAACAGATCTGACTCTTGTAGTTTGGTCCTATAGTCAAATGAAATCCGTATGATGAATAATCTCTTGCAATCAAACTGATGAGAACATAACTGACATTTTGACCATTGCATAGAAATGAGGATAATAAACCGCATCTTCATTCTTATGCATTTCTTAAGAATTTCTTTGAACATTGTATGGAAATTAGTACCCTAGAAGAAGGATTAATTCACAACTGAGAAGGAATGTTTAGCAATAAAAGGAATGATTGACAGTTTATATCTTTATTTGGACAGCTGTGAATTCAGTTTCATAACAGAGAATGACAATCTCCACAGTTTTCTAGGTATAAGAACCACAACGCCTGTTTGACAAAGTGATTTCTTTCCTGCAGTCACTCA